AAAAACCCTAAATCCGCCTTTCAACGAGATCCCCCGGGTACGAAGGGGTGGGCCCAAAGAGGGTTTTTTTTTTTTTTTTTTTTTTTTTTTTTTCTCACACGCTAAACACTCGACCCCCGGCAAACAAAAGCGTCTCTCCTGTCCGTACAGTATCGTGTTCGCATGGAGTACCTCAGGACACAGACGCTCATTCTCTCCGTCTGGCATCACGACACTTTTGGGAAGAACAGCTTCCTGGGCGAGGTGGACGTGGAGCTGTCCAAGTGGGACTTCGACCACACCCAGATGAATTACTTGGCGCTGAAAGCGAGGGTAAACACAAACACACAGCGGTACAAAAGCTGCGCCTACTTTTTTTCTCACCGAATAACAGAGGATTTACCTGTTACCTTCATTTGTCCAACCTGTACACTCATTCCCACCGGGTTAACCAGGCTGCTCATATCGCGCCTCGCCTTTTTCAGACTCTACCGTCGATTGCGCCGCTGAACGGGCGGGGAGAGATGAGACTGGCAATCCGATACCTGCCGCAGATCACCCACAGCGAAGGTCTGCTCACAGTCATCCTCCTCTGCTTTGGGAATTATTTGGTTAGGGATGCAAGTCTTTAGCTTGAAAAAGTCGGTGAAAATCATAAAAATGAAAGAAACCAGGATTTAAAGTAACTTTCTTGTTTTTTTAGCTTATTGCACCTCTTTTGCCTGCTTAAATAAACTTGGCGCAGAAAGTAAGGAAAATCATATTCTGTCAGTTACTTTCTGTCCTGTAGCTCCACAACAATAAGGAAATGTTTTAAAGTTTGGACGAAACAAGAAATGGTTATTTCTGAGTTTTTCCCCCAAGTTCTTCTGTAAAATCTTCACATATTTACAACAGGCTTTTAAAAGTGACTATGCTAACTATTTCTCTTCATTTTCCACATTTAAAGAAAAGGCTCACCGCATTCTACAAATTTTGTCCCCATTTTATTTCTGATAATGGGAAAACATTTTAGTTACACTTTGTTAGCTTTCAAAGTGAAACATTTGTTGTAGTATATATTTAGAAAAATTGTTATTCATAGCTCTTGAGTTATATATTTTTATTTTGAAGACATTCATTTTTATTATGAATGTCTTCAAAGTTTTGACTTATGGGGCTAAACATAAATTTGCGCCACACTTTTCAGATTTACCAAAACAATGTAAAACCATTTCCTCTCAGCTCTATAAGCAAACGTTGCTTTTCTTCAAGGTTTACCCAAAGACGTTTCCAGCAGCGGAGAGATTCACATTTGGGTGAAGGAATGCAAGAACCTGCCTTTAATCAGAGCCACCATCGACCCGTACGTCAAATGGTAGGCAGCGGATAAATCATCTCAAACAAGGTTAGGCTTTTCACGTCTGACGTGTGACATAAACGTTGTTCTCCCTTGCTTCCAGCTTCGTGCTGCCGGACACAAGCAGGAAGAGCCGTCAGAAGACGCGCGTCCTGCGGAGGACTGCGGAGCCGGTGTTCAACCACACCATGGTGTACGACGGCATCAGCGAGGCCGATCTGACCGAGGCCTGCGTGGAGCTCACTGTGTGGGACCGAGACCGACTCGCCAGCAACCTACTGGGGGGGCTGAGGCTCGGCGCCGGAACAGGTAACCGTCGCCTGCTCGGTGAACGTGTCCAAAGGTTTTCTTTGGACATTGGCTGCTTTTTTTCTTTCTCTGTTTTCCGTGCGGTCGCAACTTAAAAATTAGGTAAATTGGCAGGAAAAAGCTAAAAGAAAAAAAGTGTTTCAGGCTCTTACTGTCTCCTCACTGCCAAAAAACACAAAGTCTTACCAAACACATAGATGTGAGTAAATTTGAAACAAGACAAAACTAACATACAAGTAACTTTCCAGAAAGATATAAGCTTGTTTTTGGTCAATGGCAGGACACTTTCCCTTACAATATGGAAAACAAATTATTATTCCACTGGCAGATTATTTCACTTGTAGCTAATACTTTTTTCTATCAACATTAAGGAGTTGTTGACTTAAAACAAGCTCCTGTATTTTGCTGAAAAGTTACTTATGAGTTAATTTCTTGTTTAAACTTTACTAAGATGTTTACATTAGAAATGAGACAAGAATTAAAAAAAATAAATAAATAAAACAATAAAAACCCCCAGAAAGAACAGAAATATGATTTGTTACTTCATTCTGTCATCTTCTGGATTTTTTTGCTATCTGTTTCCATCTCTTTGTTTCATTTATTTATTCATTTAATTTTTGCTCAATCATGACTTTAAATCTATCTCTAATCATTGTATGTGGTTTAAGGTTAACTTGTGTCACAATTGTTTTTTTCTCATGTCACATTTTCGCAACAAATGTTTCATATGCTCTGTTTCTTGGCATTTATTTTTTTTGGTTGTATTTATTTCTCTGACACATTTGGAAAGTTTTGTATTTGAATTATATTTTGAGATCAAATGGGTAAGAGAAAAGAAACTCTAAACCACATGTGTTAAACTCGAGGCCCGTGGGCCACATCCAGCCCACCATAGCTTTTTATGTGGCCCTTTAGATTCTAGACTAAACACTTAAATATTATGTTAATCAAATCAATGTCGTTTTTTTCTGTTCACTGCCAAATTATATCAGTCGATCCAGTTTCTTGCGAATTATTGTGGAAATTCACTCAAAATCAACAAGTCCTGGCACTTTATTGCATGAATACATAATTGGGAGTTTATTGCAGATTTTTCTCAAAAAATTGTCAAAAACTTTCCTACTTGTACTAAACGGCTGTCTCATACATTCAACCGGCCTTTTAAGAGCATTTATAATCTTGATTTGGTCCAAAACGAAAAATGACTTTGACTCCGCTGCTCTAAAAAAGAAATCCTGGTGTAAATGGTGTTTAAACAAAAAAGGGGTGCTGGATATTTGAAGGTATTGAAGTGCCTGAATCCAGACATTACTAGAGAATAATCCACTGTCAGCTGCGTGTTTCTGGACGTTTCTCTTCCTCTACGTAGGAAGAAGCTACGGCGCTCTGGTGGACTGGATGGACTCCGGCCCGTACGAGGTGTCGCTCTGGGATCGCATGATGGCTTCTCCCAGTGAATGGGTGGAGGATGTGCTGCCGCTGAGAATGTTAAGCTCTGCTAGAACAGCTCTAAAGTAAAATACACCCGACTGCTGCAGGAAGTATTTATTTCCATTGACCTAGTTAAATTATTGTTGAGCTGAAATGGTAACAGCAACTTTACATCCGAGTTTGACTTTATGACGTAGAAAAAGCAAACTCTCTTTTTATAGTAAGAGTGTAAGACAAATATTGCTGGCAAAATGAATGATGTGGACACTGACGTCTCTTTGTGTTAAAGGTAAAAAGAGCTTTTTGTTGTATTTTATTGCAGAATTTTAAAGCTTTGGCTGTGAAATTCGGTTTTAACATTTTTATGCCAGGAATCCTGAAAGATGTATGGGTCAGGAATTTAGTTATTTTTAACCCTTGCGATTGCACTCCTTAACTTTGAGTATTATGTCACAGATATTCCACTTTGAGTCATGAAATTTAGGGAAGTTGCATTTATAGAGTTGTCTTGAATGCTGATGTTTGCAATCTACACCCCATAAAACCACAACTTGTTTGACACCAATAAAATTCATAATTTCCTATCTTAAATTTGTATTTTTTTGTGCTGTTTCCTGAAGTGAAACAGCCAGTAGAAATGACTTGCATTAAAACTTTCATTACATCAGTTGCCACTCCTAGACATGGATCACCTCAGATCAGTGTTTCTTTTGACTGAAGTTGTTCCAGATCCAGTCTCAGGTTCCTTGTCTCCAGATTGAGGTTTTTTTTAACTACGCTGTGCCTGATGAAGCTTTTCTAAAAGACGTGGAGATGTATTATACTTTTAGTTGATTTCAGCTGGCAGCTTTCTGCAGCTAAAATGAGATTTAATGTATATCAAAATGCATTCAACTACCTAAAATTACTTTGTGATGGTCTGCTGGTTAAAAAGAAAGAACCTGAAGATCAAATTTGAAATTGGTCTCCACAAATTTATGTCATTTGTGGCAAAACACTCACAGATCAGTTTTGTCCCAAGTTTCTCAGTTACAGTCAGATGTGCTTTAAATACTTTCACTGAATAAACTTAGTTAAAAAAAAAACTACTTTTTTGCTCGCTCATCTTTTCTTACAGTCTACTTACAAACATACCTTAAAAGCAGGGAGAAATAAATGAGTTTACACCAACAACTTGTCAAAATAGACGTATTCAGTCCGAATTATTTTACATTCAAAAAGTATTGAATCACTTTTCTTTTTATTCCCAGCAAGAAAACAAACAAAACTAAACAATTACAACATTCCTGACTATAAAAGCTGTCAACTCTCATTAAATGCATGGAAATGAATCCAACATAATGATTATGACCGACATATAATTACAATGCACTGTTATCATACACCAGCTGAGCCCTTATTTTCTTCTTAACAAATAGTAAAACTGTGTATTAGCTGTAAATCTGCGTCTGAATCTCATGACTACCTGATCTAGTGTAAAATCTCGTCCCGTCCTGCTTTGCGGTTGATGTGCTGTGATTTGGGATTGGCCTCGTTCTTCGTCAGGTGATGTTTTAGTCGTATTTCGTGGAACAAACGGCAAGCAGCAATGAGAACAGCAACGACGAGAAAGCGGATGCAATACTTTCAGCCGATGAAGCTGCTAGAGAAGAAATGGACAAGAAAATTCAGTGAGCTACCTTAAAGTGGGGAAAACGGTAAAGACGAACATCAGTTATATGGCAGGTTCTTACTTTGAGAAGCCAGCGTACCTTCAGCATCTTAAAAGGAAAAAAAAAAACAAAGGAAATGTATTCAGAATTCAACACGTTAATATCATTCAAATAGTTTTGACGTATGCAAGTTAGACCTGGGAAAGTTGTTTTTTTTTTTTTTATATTTGGGATTAAACAGGAAAAACAGTATTTTAGGAAATACTTTCATAAATCACTCAAATAAGCACATTGTGAAAACCGCTGAGGGTTATGTGAATGGAAAAGGATCTGTCCAATTGGAACCGCTTAATGTGTCAAAAGGCACAAATATTAAATGAAGTGAAATTCTGCATTCTGGTATTTTGCGGAGCTTTGGCTTCCAGTTCGGTGCAGAGGTTTGTTCAGAAGCCGGTACTGCAGCAAGGAAGGGTGAGACAGGGATGTCGACTTAACAGAAAGTTCATCCTGAGCTCCGGAGGCGGAGGGCAACTTTTATTTAACAATGTCTTCCTCTTGGCTCTTATGATAGGACACTTGTTTTAAAACGTCAAAGCAGCATCAAACCTGCTTTGGTTGTTCCCACTGAAACCGCATTCCAAAAGAGTGGATCCGAGCCGGATTCAGGACGTGGCTCACATCTGACTCAAAAACATCTGATGTAGGCCAGACCTGAGCGTTTACACTTCTATAAAGTCTGACTTTGTCACCGTGAGCCTCTGCCCACTCAGAAAAAAATCTGACTTGGCTTCATATTTGCCAGCAGTGTGAATATTGGAACTTTCGCAGAACTTCCCAGGTGTTTTCTGAAATTCACAAAGTACTTTCCAAAGACAAAGTACGTTAGTGGAGCTAACTAGTACTTCCCCAGAACTCACCAGGTACTTGGAACTACTCACCAGTCAGGTTTGTAAAGCATAACCTTAAAGTACCTTGCAAGTTCCCAAAAATTCTCAAGAAAGTACCTGGTTAGTTCCACAAACGTTACCTGGGAAAGAACAGGTTGTGTCACGTGTTGCTACCTAAAAGCTTCATTCCCAAATTTCACAGCTGTATATTCTCTCCTTTTGTGACTTTGTTTCTGATGGTGTTGGAGGAACGGACATATGAAGCGTTTTCATTAAAGACGCACCAGTGCTCTGTTGGCCGACGCGTATTTGCTGAGAGGTGATTGTAGCGTTGGCCGGCACATCCGTAGCTGCTCTCCTTCTACGGTTTTGACCACTACAGACCTGTCATAAAGAAACAAAAGAGAAACTCAAACCCATTTGAAGTAAAATCTTCCCGCAAGGCTGCACATGAGTTGGCTTACAGGCAGTAAGGAGCTGCAGGTGCTTTTCTCACACAGTCTGGTGACGCAGTGCAGGTAGAAAGTGGAAACTGTCAGATTCTTGTGCTCTATAAATCTGAAGGCCTCAAAGGAGAATTGAGCTTTCTGCGAAATGCCGTTTTCCTCCACTTTGGTCTGCGGGTCACGAGTACACCTGGGGTGCATCAAGACGCGGGAGGTTTGTCAAGAACAAAGAGTTCCCAAGAGGGCTGAATGTCATGCAAGTAAAAAAGAAAGTCTCTTGACGTGGCATCCAACTCACCCGACAAAGAGGTCGTAATATTGGGTCTGCATGGGGTAAGGACCTGTGGTGGTGTAGCATCGGTCCAGCAGCAAGTTGAACCTTTAGAGGAAGCAGAGTTACACTTTCAGTATTTGTTCTCCTTTGGCACAGATGTGGCCGGTTTAGATTTAAATGATCAAAGTTTGAATACTTTTCTGTCAGGTTGGTTGCTTTTACTGAAACGTAGATTTTGGTTTTCAGGTTGAGTCCTGTTGGAGGAATTGTAAGCAGGTTCTGGTAATTTGCATCCTGTTTTGGGAAAAAGATAAAAAAAAAAATATCAAATTAAGTAAAAAAAAAAAAAGTTAATATTTCAAAAAAGAATTGAAGATGAGAGTAGCTCTTACTTGGTAGAGCTCCATACTCAGGGTACTGATGAAGCTACCGTTGTTGTCTCGTATGGCAACGTTGACACCCGATCTGCATGGATAGAATATACCGAGGTTTTTAATAAAGTTACGGTTTCAGAGGTGCTAAAATTGCCTGGTTTTATGTTTCTTTGGTTTGATGTCATTTTCATGAGAGGCCTGGAAATGTGTGAGTGACGGGAATTTTGTTTGCATCAGTGGGCACAGACCAACGTAGCACTCTACTCCCCCTTTTGGTTGCAGCAAAATGAGCTACAATGTAAGAAGCAAATAAATTATTGATTTCCATTGAAACTGAAAATGTACACATAATTATTTTAATGATTTCAACATTTATGGAACACATAAGCTTCTGGCCTTCAGCTAAAATGCTCCGAGTTATACTGTTGTTCCACATTCCCATTTTTTGTTTGATTCTGTTTAAGTCGTGCCAGTTTTGGGGCCTCATTATTTTCTGTCTGCTCTCCAATTACTTACTAGTTCTTGTGTTAAATTGTAAGACCAAATTATTTCTATAGTCTTTGTAAGTTACCACACAGCCGACCCCCATCACGGTTGCTACAGGAAGTAAGCTTCAGACCAAGGAGATTGATGTGAACAGCTTTAGCACCGACTGTGGCAGATAAAGCTGGCATATAAAATAAATTCACAACAAGCCCCGGCGCATTATTGACTGTCAAATGGTACAGATAAATTAATAAACAATTGTTTATGCATTACATAATTAAAACAGCCTGGATGTCTTTGATGAATGAATGGATACCTGTGATGCTCAGAATGATTTGTAATTAATAACATAAATCTATAAGTGAAATTGAAAATAATTCAGTCAAATTTGAATCCATTAAATCTAAAAACGTATATATTTATCCCAGTTTTTAAATGATTACATGGTTCCTGTTGTGCAGCACGTTGCTCTCTAACATCTGACTGGCTCTCCTACACAATAAGTAAACGTCCGGCCAATCACATTGGCGAGAGCAGTTTTGGTATTGCCCACCGTCTCAATAAATGAAGCTTACTGAAAATTAAATGAAGTGTTGCAGCAGGTCACCATAAAAACAATTATATTGAAACAATTTTTATCTAGTTAGTAAATAAAACCCAGTTTAGAAACACGTGTAATCAATTATCTACATATTTGTAATATTTAACTGATCCTTAAATATTTTTTTTATTATTAAATTCTGCCACGTTTCGACTATTACAGTCTGTGACCATGAAGCAATTTAAAAGAAAAAACTAACTTACATATGCGTTTTAAAATTACACACTTGTTTATTAATTTTATGTTCTGTATAAGTATTTGTTTCAGTGTCATATTTAAATAATTCATTTGAGCAATTGTTGCATGGTAAATTTTATTTTATTGGATTGTCATAATATTTCAGCAGCAATGTTGATTAGTGTTTTTTTTTTTTTCTTTTTCTATTTTAAGACTAAAGCGATTAACATGTTCCATGATTCTGGGCCTCCTGTGTGTGATGGCGGCTGTCTCCTTGCTGTACTCACACGCTGAGCTGAGTGTTGTTGAGCAGGTACTGCATTGGGTACTTGCAGGAGAAGATGTAGTGGATCTGCGGTCGGTAGGTGATCATGCCGGCGGACGGGTCTACAGACATGACCATGCCTGAGATATTCACAAACTCCACGTTGGAGAAGTCTGCAAATTCTCCGGTTCCAACCTGACTGGTTATCTGTTAAATAATAATAATGATGATGAAAAAAAAAATAGAGCAGAATATAAAAACTTCTTAAATATTTTTACAATTAAAACCCTCTCAGCGGTCTTAGCCAGAGGCTCAGGAGGAGCGCGGCAAATGTCACGCTCGGACAGCTGGGAAAAGGGGGACTGTCCCGTCAGACCATCAATTTCCGAAACCACACAGGAGGGTTGAAAACTTTTTCTCTACTCCAAT